TCCCCTGCCAGCCATAGTGTTAGATAAAAGAGGAAAAAAAAAATCTGCTATTGGTCTTGGATTGCAATTTCCACACCATGCATATGTTTTTTTAAACAGACTGCATTTCTCTTACGGTCTCCCTTGGCCGTCTTTGCAAAAAAAATTGATTGATCTTTTCCCCTGATCTACAATATCGAATGTTCCTAATGTGCTCCCAGATGTGACAGCGTTATCTTTATTTCCATCCCTAATAAATCTGGGGGCGAGTCCTCTGCCTACTTCTCGGCAAGGCTCCCTTCTCTGTCAGGTCAATTTGCACTTTGCATATAGGCAAAATTTGACTTTTTTGCACCACTGCACCTTGCTTTGCTTTGGCTTGTGTGAAATGGCAGCCACCAATTTGGAACTCCATCATTGTGAAGAGATCCCCTTAAACTCCTGACAAATCTTATTTGATTTTCTCCCACCCTGCCTAGCTTGGTGTTATCAGCAAAATGGATCCACTTTGGCTTGTTGAAAATGGACCCCTTGCCATTTACCCTCTGCAAGGAGTCCTCCATTGGCAACGCTTAGTGACCATTTAAAGTTACAACAGACCCTGAAAAAGGAACAACCCAGATTTTTAAGTTCTGACAGCCAACCCTGGTCAAGCGATCCCATTTTGGGTGCTTGGCTAGCAGCCCACATTTCACAGCCATTTGCAGCATTCCATGGTCACGTGATCACAATTTACAACATCTGGTTTCTGGCAAAAAAAAACAACACCTGCCTGTAGAGAACAATGGGTTCACTTAACAATCCTGGTATTCATTTAACGACCGCTGCAAAAAAAACCAAACAGGTCATAAAGGCACAGTCGTGTGATTCTCTGCTTAATGACTGTCATGACTTGGGGGCTCAATTACAGTTGTAGATCGAGGACTATGTGTAGTTTAGAAAAAAGTTTAAAACATCAGTCCTGAAATAGATCCTCGGGGGGGGGGAGGGACCCTAGGATAAAATATGTTCTTGTCTGCATCCTGGGGCGAATTTGGTTGCTAGGGAGCGTTGGGATAAAATACTGCTATTTTTAATGTCATACAACCGCCAGTTAAAAAGTCCAAGGAAAATGCCCTTTATTGATGAAAGCTGATCATTCAAGGAAGCAGTGTGTTGAATAACCCCCCCAGGCACCAACCTGCCCTTCCTATTAGTCCCCTCCACCCCCGCCGCCTCTGCTCTTCCCACCCACCCCTCTCCCAGCCACAGACCTGCTCTGGTATTCCAGGTCAGGAAGGTTTTTGATACCCAGGCTGAAACAAGCCTTGTCCAAATCTTTGTTAACGAAATTAGCCGCTCCGGAAGTGGCAAATACTTGTAATCCCAGAATAGGCCTTTTCATTTCAAAATGAGAGGAAGGGGGAAAAATCAGCCCTCACCGTTGACATTCAAGAGTTTCCTCCCTTCCTCTGGACAGCTGGCTCCAGTTAAGCTACATGAATGCACTTATTGGATAACTACTTAATAGCACATTAGCGCTGGACCAAATGGCTCAGAACGTCATTTTCCATTTTCAAGATGGCTCCATTTGCTGCAATGCCTTGCAGGGTTGAGGGTAGGGCCGCGTCAGAACTAGGAACAAAACATGGCTGGTTGGGACAAGGAGAGAACCAGCAGAGGAAGCTGGCTCTCTCCTAAACCAGCCATCTGGGTTTTGCACACGGCTTGCAAACGTGGGTTGTGTGCACGTGCACTTGTACACATTCCATCCGAGCCATCTCAGCCCCATTGTGAGAATAAAGCCATTCCAGGTAGTCTTCGAATTGCAGCTGTAATGGAGCCTGCACATAACGGTCGTAAGTCATGAAGGTCGTAAAGTGGATCACCCCTGTGACTGGATTTAAATCATGACTTTTCTACTTGTAGCGATTGTTAAGCGAACCCTTTGTTTGCTATGGGACGTTTCTGCCGACAATCAGAATTAAATGCTGGGTTTTGGGCAAAAATGCTGTAAATTACAGGCATGTGACTGCGGGACACTACAAACAGCAGTGAATGTGGGCCAGTTACCAAGCTCCTGAAATACAGTCGTGGGATTGTGGGAGTGGGGAATGACCATCGGAACTTTACAACTCAGTTATAAGCTTGGGAGGATTGTTGTGACTCCAAACAGCCAATAGCTGACCAGTAGTAAATCAAGAACTATCTATAGACTGTTCAGCGAGGTGCTTATGTTGTACAAGTCAAAATCATTTTTCCCATAGCTAACTTTTATACCTCGCACAGTATAAAGTCTCAAGTATTTAATTTTTTAGCAGCGTTATGCCAGCATCTCATTGTTACGTTTAATTTTAATTTTATTCCTAATATACAGGTCATCTGCATTTAGCAACCACAGTTGGGGCTGGCAATTCAGTCGTTAAATGAAGTGGTTGCTAGTGAACCATGCTTACAATCATCAGCTTTTTTTTTTTTGCTTTATGGACCTGCAAAGGGCATAACTGCTGAGATTGGTCATGTCATTTTATTCATTGTTGGTGTAACTGTAAATGGTCACTAAATTGGGCAGTTGCCAAATGAGAACAACCTGTACTATGACATTTAATTGTTCTGTATTTATATTCTATTCACTTCTATTTCCACTACAACACAATAGCTCTCTTTTGTATTTAGCTGTGAAGAAGCCTCATTTTGCTTGGAAAAGTCATAGTGTTTTAGACGACTGATGGAGAGAAATCATTTTGCTCTGAAATGTTTGAGGGAGGGAGGGAGGGAGGGAGGGAGGGAGGAAGGAAGGAAGGAAGGAAGGAAGGAAGGAAGGAAGGAAGGGAGAAGGGAAGGGATGGGTCGATCTTCTGGCATTTGTGTTTCAGTTGTGATGGTCCCCATCACTAATCACTTGGGGTCCCTACTGAGTTTTGGCCAATTTAGATTGCATCACCATTTGGGAAGATGTGACTCAGCACTTTCACAATTCCATTAGGGGTGGGCCACAAGAAGCCCTACGGCCGGCCGGACCACATATAACAACACCCCCTCCCCCATCACCACCTTGCTTTGATGTCCCTAGTATCTTTTCCAACCTCATTGCTGAATTGTAGCAATGCAATTTGTCGCAGTTTTTAAATAGAAAATGCCGGGCTAGCTGCTGCATGACGTTAGAATAGGCTTAAAACTTTAGAAAAAAAAAAAACCTGAATCACACCCCCCCCTCCACCTTGCGCCATTTACTACCATAGCAAAATACAAGTCTGGAGATGGTTGCAAATAAAAAGAGATTTTATTCAGATAATAAGGGCGACATTTTTCGTTGGGTGGGAATTCATAACATCTATTGCAGCTTTTCCAGAGAAACCGTAGGAAGTACAAAAGGCAGAAGGGGGGGGGGAGAAAAATCCAAATGGGCTAAAATGTCTCTTTAATTTATTTGCATTGCAAACTGTAGTCCATTGCTACCCTGTTTTGCATCCAAAGTCTCGTTCCTCAAAATTGCAAGGACTGGCTTTATTTTTTTCATAATAATAATAATAATTAAAAAAAAACATAGAAGTCTCAACTTAAATCATTTTAAATAATGCACGCTGGACGTGTTAAAACTTTTTTTTTATTTCTTTAATTACACATAAATAAATATATACAGATTTCATTACAGTTCCATTTGGCCTCTCCTGCAAGGGCTAGTCTTGTGCTTCCAATCAAATTGTTAATTTATTCTTCCGTTATTTAATATTAGTAGCATGATGAATGTTTTAGAACTTGGGAGGGGAGGCTGGCTTGGACCACCTCCCTCATCTTCAGTCCGGAGAAGCTGAAATGACACTTGGCTAGGAGAGAGAAGGCCTAAGAGCAGGGATTGTGTCCCCTTTGGCATTGGGGCGGGGGCTACCAAGATGGCTGTATCAGCACCTCCACCATGGGGTCTAACCGGACCAAAATCTGTTAACAAAGCTGTAGAACAGTGGTGGCAAACCTATGGCACAAATGCCAGAGGCGGCACTTGGAGCCCTCTCTGTGGGCACATGTGCCGTTGCCCCAGCCCCGCCTCCCCCACAGCCCCCTCCACACCAGCCCCCCGAGGAGAGTCGCCCCCAGGCACGGCCCGCCTGGAGCAGCGCAGCCAAGGACATGGCAGTGGGGACAAGACTCCGCCCTTGCGCCCCATCGCAAAAAGATGATGCTGTGGGGCACGGGTGGAGGGCGTGGCCATGGCACTACTGGGCCGCCTGGGTGATTTGCGGAGGGCCGTGGAGGTGGTGGGTGGCCCTGCAGGTGGGTGGGGGCAGGGCAGGGCAGGGGTGGAGCGGGGCTGGGGCAGTGTGGGGCTGGGGCAGTTTTTGGGCACTCGGTGTCTAAAAGGTCCGCCATCACTGCTGTAGAATATTTTCCATCATGGGATGTTTTATTTCGCCATGAGACTGTAGCAAAGGAAAGCCACGTGAAGCTTTAAGATTGGTGATTGGTAAGTTTGTGATTAAAAGAGCTTTCTCTCTCTCTGGTTCAGATGTCTGGACCTGACCTGCTGCATGGGTCCAAAAATTCCAGTACTCTTTGACTCTAAGCAGGCTTTGATTCCGAACGTTTCTCGTCTAGATTCTACCCGAAGACCTCTTTGTCTTGGTTTGCTCCTTTTCAATGCTGCCTGGAGCCTACCCACCTTTGTCCGAGCACGGACTTTTCCAAAGGAACACCATAAAAATCATCAAAACAATTGCACATATAGCCAGGCTTCCTGTCTCTCCTATGGAAAAATCAGATGTGTCAACCCAAAGCACTAACTAATTTCTTCTCGAAGGGAGATTGGCTCGCCCTCTTCTTCTCCTCCTTCTTCAATCTTCTCCTTTTCATTGACTTGGTTTCAAAAATGCATCCGTCGCAGTTCGGAAAACCCGGCAGGAGAGAGGAGGGCTCATCATCTCCTTCCTCCTGCCCCCGGCAACACTTCCAAGAGCGTTGAAGGGCCTTCCTGTCTTCTCGCGTCCTGGAAATGGGAAGGAACCCTCCGATGGGGAGAGGTGGCGGGTCACTGCCTGCCGAAGGGGTCATTTCCGATGCTTCACATCCTTTTCTGAGGTTTTGGCGTCGCCCACCGAGTGACCGTTGCCCGTGCTGTTCATGAACATTTTGTCAAGTCCTTTCAGGGACTCCACCAAGTAGTTCTGGAACGCTGTGAGAGCCGCGCAGATCGCCGGCCCTCCGAAACCATGGGTTATTAAACTGAAGTGCGTCAAGCAGCTTTGAACGCCAGGTTCCAAGATGAGTGTCGGGCGGCTGTTTCCCAGAGGGGAGCGATCCTGAGCCATCAGGTCAGCAAACTCTTTGCAGATTTGCCTGGAGTGGAGAAGGAGAAAAAAAAAGGGAAATGGGATATTTAAGGTGGGAAGAGAGGCAGGTGTGATCTTGTAGCCGGCCGTTATGCTCATTCTGATAGCCACCAGTTGCTGGTACCCCTGCAGACCCTTCCAGGTTTGTTTCCCACCCTTTTGACATACGGCATTCTTGCATGGTACGGGGGCAGCTCTGTAGCGGACAAAAAAGCTCTACAGAGGATTATTAAAACTGCCCAGAATATTATTGGACTCCAACTACCAGCCCTGGATAACATCTCCGAATCTCGTTGTTTGAGGAAGTTGCATAACATTCTCAGAGACTCTTCCCATCCTGCTTACAATCTTTTTGGACTGTTGCCTTCTGGTAGAAGAGACAGAATAATTAAAACTCAGACCACGCGTTTGTTTTCTGAATAGTTTTTATCCCAGAGCTGTAATTGCACTCAACAACGAACTAAGGGGCCACCATCCGTGAACTGTTGGACAGCATTACTTGGTCTGTTGTGTGGATGTTGGGTGGTTTTAGGGGTGGGGATTGTGTGTGGGGGGGAGTGTGTTGGGGATTATGTGTGTGGGACTTGGTTTTGGGGTGTCAAGTAAATTTCGTTGTATACGTATACTATGTACGCACATACAGTGACAATAAATAAATAAATTAAAATAAATTAAATTCAAAGGACCTGCAGGCTCTTTGCACAGGCTTTCTGTGCAGGTGGTCCTCGACTTACTGGGACGAGAATTTCCATTGCGAAGCAGCGCAGTTGTTAAGTGAGTCACACCCCATTTGACAACCTTTTGGCCAAGTGAAACAGTGCGACTGCTAAACGACTCGTGCAGATGTTAAGCGAATCTAGTTTCCCTCTTTGAGTTTCCTTGTCAGAAGTTGGCTGGGGAGGTTGCAGTTGGTGGTCACGTGACCCCAGGATGCTGCAACTCTCCTAAGTACATCCTGGTTGCCAAGCGCCTGAATTTTGACAGTGTCACCATGGCGATGCCGCGATGGCTCTAAGTGTGAGGACTGGCTGTAAGTCACTTTTTTCAGCGCTGGCGTAACTTTCAAACAGTTGTAAAATTAACGGTTACAGAATTGCAGAATAACAGAGCTGGAAGGGACCTTGAAGGTCTTCTAGTCCAAACAGAAGGCCCTATACCAGGGGTAGGCAACCTTGGCTCTTTTATGACTCGTGGACTTCAACTCCCAGAATTCCTGAGCCAGCCATGCTGAGGGGAAAGGGAGAAGTTTCCATGCTGAGCCATGCTGGCTCAGGAATTCTGGGAGTTGAAGTCCACAAGTCATGAAGGGGCCAAAGTTTTCCCCATGCTAGTTCAGGAATTCTGGGAGTTGAAGTCCGCAAGTCATAAAAGAGCCAAGGTTGCCTACCCCTGCCCTATACCATTCCAGACAAATGGGTGTCCCGTCTCTTCTTAAAAATCTCCAGTGATGGAGCACCCACTACTTTAAGAGGCAAGATGTCCCACTGGTTAATTGTTCTAACTGACATAAAAATTCTCCTTAATGCTAAACTGGATCTCTCTTTGATAAGCTTCATCCAGTACTATTTGTCCACTTGATTGTAGTATAGATGGAATATTATCTATATTTTTAATGATCAGCGCAATGGAGAAGTCTGTATATCTATAATTTCCCACCTGCAACTAGTCCTACCCTTCCATGACATACTCCCAATATTTTATTAAGGTTTTTTATAATGTAAAATAAAGGTCATTTAAAATAAAAAGGATAAAAGAAAGTAAGGGGGGGGAAGGCATTGACTTCTGACTCTTTCTAGTACAGTACAGTGTAATAGAAACTAGATTTACAGCCTTTACTTTTTGCATTACATTTAGTTACTAAAAACCATTTTTGTAACTAGGCAATTATTCGATCTTCAAACTAAAGTCTATATTTCTTTCTTTTCTTTTTTACTATTTTGCGTATAAAAAAACAGAAGCGATTTCCCAACGGAAACAGGACTGAATAAAATCTTCTCTTTGTTTAGAACAGTTTACTTTCCACCAAATCCACTTAATTCCCATCCGTTTTTTTTTTCCGCTGTGAGAAATAATATAGCTTTCTATTAACGCTTATTGGATTTTCTGCACTGTCATCATGTATAATTGCTAAAACGTGTACCTTATCCTTCAAGCTGACTTTGATGCTAACATGTCTTCCACCACAGGTGGGATCCTGTTACTTACTTGGTTGCTAAAAGCATGTTTTTCCGGGCGTGGAGCTCGCTGGGATCCGAGTGCTGGCGGCAGAGGTATTCAGCTGCTGCCTTGGCTGGGAACTCTGTTTCGCACACATAGCCAAAGTCCCGAGCGAGATGAACAGCCTCCCCTGGAAAGTTAGAAGGAAAATCAAGCTGGGGTGGTACAGGTAGTCTCAGCTTACGACCACAGTTGGGATCAGACTTTCCATTGCTAAAGTGAGTTTTGCCTCATTTTACGGGTGTTTCTTGCCACTGTTAAGTGAACCACTGCAGCTTTTAAGTTAGTAACATGCATCCAGTTTTGGTCACCACGATGTAAAAAAGATGCTGAGACTCTAGAAAGAGTACAGAGAAGAGCAACAAAGATGATTAGGGGACTGGAGGCTAAAGCATATAAGGAGTGGCTGCTGGAATTGGGTCTGTCTAGTTTAAGGAAGAGAAGGACGAGGGGGGACATGATAGCAGTGTTCCAATATCTCAGGGGCTGCCCCAAAGAAGAGGGAGTCAAGCTATTCTCCAAAGCCCCTGAAGGCAGGACGAGAAGCCACGGATGGAAACTAATCAAGGAGAGAAGCAACCTGGAACTAAGGAGAAACTTCCTGACAGTTGGAACAATTAATCAGTGGAACAACCTGCCTCCAGAAGCGGTGAATGCTCCAACACTGGAAGTTTTTAAGAAGAGACTGGACAGCCATTTGCCTGAAATGGTATAGGGTTTCCTGCCTGAGCAGGGGGTTGGACTAAATGACCTCCAAGGTCCCTTCCAACTTTATTATTATTATTATTATTATTATTATTATTATTATTATTATTATTATTATTATTATTATTATTATTATTATTATTATTGACTTTGTTTGTCAGAAGGTTGCAAAAGGGGATCACGTGACCCTGGGACGTTGCAAATGCACGCCAGTTGCCAAGCCTCCAATTTTTGATCCCGTGGCCACAGGGATCACTTTTTTTCAGTGCCACTGAAACAGAAGAACAGAATAACGGAGTTGGAAGGGACCTTGAAGGTCTTCTAGTCCAACCCCCTGCTCCAGCAGGAGACCCTGTACCATTCCAGACAAGTGGCTGTCCAGTCTGTTCTTAAAAGCCTCCAGTGATGGAGCACCCACTACTTCTGAAGGCAAGCTGTTCCACTTCAAATAGTCACTAAATAACGGAATAACTAAATAACGGAATAACGGAATAACTAAATAACGGAATAACAAAAGTTGGAAGGGATCTTGGAGGTCTTCTAATCCAACCCCCTGTTCAGGCAGGATACCCTGTACCATTTCAGACAAATGGCTGTCCAGTCTCTTCTTTAAAACGTCCAGTGTTGGAACATTCACAGCTTCTGGAGGCAGGTTGTTCCACTGGTTAATTGTTCTCACTGTCAGGAAGTTTCTCCTTAATTCTAGGTTGCTTCTCTCTTTGGTTAATTTCTATCCGTTCTATTCTTGTCCTGCCTTCAGGTGCTTTGGAGAATAGCTTGACTCCCTCTTCTTTGTTGTAACCCCTGAGATATTGGAACTCTGCTATCATGTCCCCCCTCGTCCTTCTCTTTGTTAAACTACTAGACATACCCAATTCCAGCAGCCGTTCCTTATATGCTTTAGCCTCCAGTCCCCTAATCATCTTTGTTGCTCTTCTCTGCACTCTTTCTAGAGTCTCAACATCTTTTTTACATTGTGGTGACCAAAACTGGATGCAGTATTCCAAATGTGGTCATGACATTTTGAATGGTTGTAAGTCAAGGACTACCTGTAACTATTTGCTGCGTTTGAACAATTAACTTATTACATCAATTGTACAGCATCAGCATCTCAGACTCAAGTGTGAGAGAAGTCAAGACTTCGTAAATTGCCACTACGGCATCTCATTGCATCACCCAGCCCAGTGGGATTCAGAGGGGTTGGGATACTAGGCCATAATCAGTGTTTGGACTAAAAGGAACTCTTGACATAATAACAGGAGGCATGTCAAGATGTCATGACCCAAGTCTTGCCTATTATGTCACAAGGCAAGCACAAAAGCAGCAGAATTTACAACACAATTTGTTCCCTCCCCTGCTGTAACTGTCCATCTGGGCAGAGCGACTGGGAGCTGCAGTGACCCAACCCACTCAGTCACAAAAAGCTAACCAAGATTTATACTAACTCAGCAAATACGGCTGCTGCAGCTTTAACCAACCTGGTTAAATGCAGAAGGCACTAACATTGGTTAGTCTGGACTCTGGATGAATATAGTTTTTGTTTTCTTAAATGTAAACTGTGTTTTTGGAGGTTGCGTTTGAATTATGTGAATTGTTTAGCTTTGTGTTTTAACTGTGTATGCTGCCCAAAGTCCCAGGCATGAGATGAGCAATTATATAAATTATTATGTATTTATTTATTATTAGAGCTCTATGCTACCCATCTTGACAAGGCAACTATAGGCGGTTACATAAATAGATGTAATTAGATTAAATTGGATCACTAGATATATCAATAAACAAATAAGATGCTACCAGATTCCATGTCAGACTAACATAGCTTTCTGATCCGCATCTTGGATAAAATGTGCTGCATAAACACAACCTATCACTCTAAAAAGCAGAGCAAGTTGCCAAGAGTTGATGGGGAACTGCTGGAACCTCGAATAGTCACTAAGCGACTGGTTGTAAGTTGAGGAATGCATGTGTGCGTTTGTGTAGGTATATGTGTATATGTGTGTAGGTATTTATGTGTGGGTGTTGTATTTCCACCTCACATTTCCTTCAATTGATCTATATTGTAGATCAGTGGTTCTCAGCTTGTAGTCTGCAGACTCCTGGGTGGCCACCATGTCGTCACAGGGGGTCCGTGAAGACTTAAAAAAAATGTTATCATTTGAATCTTAATAATAATATAATAATAATAAAGTTGGAAGGGACCTTGGAGGTCATGAAGTCCAACCCCCTGCTCAGGCAGGAAACCCTATACCATTTCAGACAAATGGCAGTCTAGTCTCTTCTTAAAAACTTCCAGTGTTGGAGCATTCACCGCTTCTGGAGGCAGGTTGTTCCACTGGTTAATTGTTCTGTCAGGAAGTTTCTCCTTAGTTCCAGGTTGCTTCTCTTCTTGGTGAGTTTCCATCCGTTGCTTCTTGTCCTGTTTTCAGGTGCTTTGGAGAATAGCTTGACTCCCTCTTCTTTGGGGCAGCCCCTGAGATATTGGAACACTGCTATCATGTCCCCCCTCGTCCTTCTCTTCATTATCTTGAGTTGGATCTTGGGGGTCCGTGACCACGAAAGGTATTTAAAGAGGGTCCGTGGTAAAGAAAAGGCTGAGAATTACTGGCCTAGAATATTCCCACTTCCATTTTATCCCTACAACAGCCTTGTGAGGTAGGCTGGACCGAGTGAAGTGATATCTCCAAAGGGGCTTTCCTGGTGTGGTTGGACTTGAACCGATCTCCCCAGACCTCTGGCCACCCTCCTACCTCGGCTTCCTTTCTTCCAAGATTGATAGGCATCGGTCCGTATAACCATGAGAGCTAGAACCTTGTAGGATTTGTGCCCTGACCTGATAGCCAATTCTCGCTCAGAAGGGGTGACGGGAGACCTCGCACCGAGAGGTAGAAAGCGAGGCCAGCAAGTAGGTTAACACATTATAGGATGGATGGCTTAACCCCAAGCACAGCAGGGGAGGGAAGATGAATTAACTCTGTCTGTTTAACCTGAGTTCGGGAGCTGGGTGTGATCGATTGCCCATCCGCTCCGATTACTTCCACAGCAGTGCCTGAAGCTGGATCAATTTCACCAATGCAGGGGCACTTCCACAGAATGATGGATCCCCTCCTGACTGCAGCTGCCCCCAGGAGATCCAGGACTTCTGTGGAGAGACTATTGGATAGGCCGAGTCTCCCTCCCACATCTCTCCCACACCTCTGCCTGCACATAACAGCACCAACAGATGCCACCCCTACCTTAAGCCCACACTGGTGCCCGTGCACGCATCCTGGGATAAACGCCATGCAGAAATATCCCGTGCCTTTTTACTCCTGGATTGCAAAGACTTCATCTGAAAAGGATGAATTGGGAGGAAATTTTCCTAGATAGCTCAGGATAATCTTGCCCTCCCCAAAAGATGAGATAGCCAAGGGTTACATCATGGGAATGTCCAGTGTTTCGTTCCACAATTTTCTCCACGTGTCGAAGGATAAATTAGACTCGCAGATTCATCGAATCTGTGAACTGGAGGCAGCTTTGAGTCCATCCTGTCTCAGTGCAGGAATCCAAATTGCCGCCGTCTCTCCGGCTTTCGTTTGGACCCTTCTGGCAAGCAAAGCTCCTTGGGGCATTTAAACGGACTTCACCTGTTTTATAAGTTTGTGAGCTTGTAAGTTCCGTTTCTGTTCTTCTTTATTTGATATAGACTTTGGGGGGGGGGATTTGTTAACACTTTGTAGGAATGCAAACAGGCCAGGCTGCTTTTCCCAAGAGAATGCCCTTCTCTTTGGCGGGTGCTTCAGATCTAGCAAAGCCTTTCTGAAAGGCAAAACAAACAAATAAACAAACCAAAATCTATGGAGATTCTCAGTCATCCACGTCAGGGTTGTCCCAAAGGTGCTTTTTTCAAGAGGCAACTGGACTTTCTTGTGTTTCCTTGGAAACGTTTCGCTCCTCATCCAAGCTTCTCCTTCTCCTTCCTACTTCTACTTCTACTTACTTCTACTTCTACTTCTACTTCTACTTCTTCTTCTTCTTCTTCTTCTTCTTCTTCTTCTTCTTCTTCTTCTTCTTCTTCTTCTTCTTCTTCTTCTTCTTCTTCTCCTTCTCCTTCTCCTTCTCCTTCTCCTTCTCCTTCTCCTTCGCCTCCTCCCTCTCCCTCCTCCTCCTCCTCTTCTTCTTTCTTCTTCTTCCTCTTCTTCTTTCTTCTTCCTCTTCCTCTTCCCCCTCTCCCTCTCCTCCTTCTCTCCCTTCCTCCTTCCTTCCTTCCTTCCTTCCTTCCTTCCTTCCTTCCTTTCTTTCTTTCTTTCTTTCTTCTTCTGGACAAACAAACAAAAGGAAACAAGAGGAAATGCTGGGCCGAAGAAGAGGACCCAGGTTTGCATGCTGGGATGTTTATGCAGCAATGCAAAATTGTGATCTCATTGGAAAAGGCCCTTGTGTATTTCAACGTCCTTTATTGGAAAGGCTGGGACAGTGAATGGGAGACGTTTATGTTGCCCATTCCCTCTGGCCTATAAGTGCTAACTAGGGGTGGAAATCGTCTTCTAGCCCATCCACCCTAAATGCAAGTGCTTTCCTGGAGTTCATTTATCCTGACGAGCCCTGAAAATAGAAGGCTTCCCTTTAAAAAAAATCCTTCAAAGGAAGGGCCACGCTTTGTGGGGTAGGACTTATTGTCCTTGGGCAAACAAGCTATCATCTGTCATTTATACTGACCCCCCTGGTCAGCAGTCAATGACAGCTCCCAGCTGTCTGGGCTGAGCCCGAAATGCTTGTTTTCCTGCCCTCCTCCTCCTCCTCCTCCTCTTCCTCCTCCTCCTCTTCTTCTCATGGAAATAAACCATTCAGGAGCATCCAGTCCTAAAGCCGCCGTCAAGAACAACCGCAGCCTCCCGCAACTGCCCGTTTCATCAGCTGCCAACAAAGCAAAGGGGCTTCTTTCTGTTCTTCTCCAGCAGCTGCCTTTCCGTCACAATAGACCGCAGAACTAAGACCATCCCCAACTCACGGACGGCCTTTCTACACATTGTAGTGTTTCACATCGAAGCCATCCAGGTGATAAACTCCTCTGTTGGGGGTTGCGACGAGCCGAGAAATCCTGCAGCCTTTTTTTTTTTCCCCTCCTGGCTGGTTCTCCCTCAGTTGGGTCCAACAGCATTTGCTTTCCAAGGGATTGTCCAGGGGTGGAGACCGCGTAACGCTCTTGTACATATTTCACGAGAAATGTCACTTTCAGCGGATCGTCCTCTATCCGAGACCTGCATCCTCTTCCCTGGCTTCCCGTTGTTCCTGTTGAATTCCAAGGAAAGCCATCTGGGGCGTCTTGAGGTTGCAACGTGTAAAGCAGCCAGAGACGTTCCCCTGATGGAAGGCAGCACTCCCCAAAACGATTGAAATGATCCCACCTTGCCACTACAGGTAGTCCTCGACTTGCAACCGGAATTTCCATGGTTGAGCAAGGCAGTGGTTAAGCGAGACTCATCTAACTTTACAACCTTTTTTTTTTTTTTGCCTCGGTTGTTCAGCAAATCACTACCGTTGTTAAATGAATCAGGCGGTCGTTAAGCAAATGACTTAAACCAGGGGTAGGCAACCTCGGCTCTTTTATGACTCGTGGACTTCAACTCCCAGAATTCCCGAGCCAGCCATGCTGAGGGGAAAGGGAGAGGTTTCCAAGCTGAGCCATGCTGGCTCAGGAATTCTGGGAGTTGAAGTCCACAAGTCATAAAAGAGCCACGGTTGCCTACCCCTGGCCTATACCATTTTGGACAAATGGCTGTCCAGTCTCTTCTTAAAAACTTCCACTGTTGGAGCCTTCACCGCTTCTGGAGGCAGGTTGTTCCACTGGTTAATTGTTCTCACTGTCAGGAAGTTTCTTCTTAGTTCTAGGTTGCTTCTCTCTTTGGTTAGTTTCCATCCGTTGCTTCTTGTCCTGCCTTCTGGCGCTTTGGAGAATAGCTTGACTCCCTCTTCTTTGGGGCAGCCCCTGAGATACTGGAAGACTGCTATCCTGTCCCCCCTCGTCCTTCTCTTCGTTAAACTAGACATACCCAATTCCAGCAGCCTTTCCTTATATGCTTTAGCCTCCAGACCTCTAATTATCTCTGTTGCTCTTCTCTGTACTAGACATGCATTTTTGCCATTAATATTGATGAAAGACAACTTCTTTTCTTTTTCACAGTCTGTTTTGCCTTGTTTGATCACAATGATTTTCTGATACTCTTCCCAAGCAGGAAAGCCATTTCCCTTCATGGCAGCACCATGGCGTGCAGAAGAAGACAGGTCCAGACTGTAGTGATTTTACAGTTGAGATGCCCTCTAGAGGTCTTCAGAATCCTTGCTTTCCCCATCAACCCTCTGTCCTCCATATGGTCTGGACTGTAATTCCCACAGTTGATTGCTAGTGCCCCTACAGCCCGAGGCTAATGGAAATGAAAGTCCGAAAACTTCTGGAGACCACCAAATTGCCTGTCCCTGTGATTAATGATTTTGGGAATTCTACACACTTCCTCAGACAAGGCATAGTTGTGACGATTAACGTAGGTAGAGACTCTTGAACAGAGACATCGGACAACGTAAGGGTCCCCTGTGACAATATCCATAAGAAGTGACCACCGTGGACCTAATACCCACGGTGGTTTCTTTCGAAGATCTTACCCGACGTCACTATCCCGTCGTTCTGTTACTCACGTGTTGGGTGGGTGTAACGAGAATTGAGGGAACTCTCTGTGTTTGTATTGCGTGCATGTTTTATTTGGGGGAAATGATACAAAATCTGCTTCATGGGTTGTACGGTTTTATTGTTGCTTCCTCACAAAGCTCAGTAGAAATGATGCTTTTATTTTGTTAATGTTTTGCTGAACACAAATTTGGCTGCCAGATTGTGGAGAAGAAATCACCAACAGGAGGTGGGCTGTAAATTCCTCGCTCTTGCTTTAAGACGGGTGAGGAACCATGGCCCTTTATGACTTATGGACTTCAACTTCCAGAATTCCTGAGCCAGCAATGCTCATCATCAAATTCTGGGAGTTGACGTCCACAAGTCATAAAAGGGCCATGGTTCCCCACCCCTGCTTTAAGGAGATGGTGACCGCTTAACCCCAAGAAATAAGCATCAGACTTGGAATTAAACTGAAACAGTCCCCTTTTTAATTCTCTGTCCAGGGTTGTCTATGGAATACAGTCAAAAAAGTTAAGATGGTGGCTGAAAGGATGCAATTGAAATTCTGCTTTGACACACTTAAAAACAAGTAGAACTTCCATTGTGCCATCACAACCATCATCTTGATGTTTTTGATCATATCCTTCAGACGTTCCAGTTTTTTTTTTTTTAATAATCTATTTTATTTTCCTCCTAAAGGATTTTTTAAAAAATTGCATCTGAATTTTAATTCTTTCTATGAACACTTAGAAAAGATGAGTTATATTGATGCGGGGCTGAAGGTAGCCAGTCAATCCATCAGCCAGGGTGTCAGAGAGATAATTCAAAATGGGTAGTGATCAACTTTTCCCACTTTTAATGTAAAATGAGGACATTTTAAATCCCAGAATTCCTACACATACACACATACACAAAATAATACCTTGTCAGGCCAAACACAAATAATCTTACCTTCCACCAGTGACGTTAACAAGGTGACATTTGCTGCTTTGCGCCTTCCAGCGGGTAAATTTAACCCGATCTTTTCCAATCTTTCCCTTAAACATCTTCCACCATTTTTAGATTTTGCCCTAAAACAGGAAAGCAGAAGAGTGAAACAATCTGAATGAGATTTAAAAAAAACCAACCAACCAAACAAAGAAACTAAGCAACCAGATCACTCCTGATTTCCAAAACCTGTTCTTCAACAATTCTTGGAAAAGTCGTAGGGCTCTTTGGAAATTTTTCAATTAAGTTGTGATAAAGGTTTCATGGTTTAGTAGTGACTTCTTATCTGCATCAAAATTAACGTAAAAAATACCTGCCGGTGGTCCTTGCTTAACTGCCCGCTTAGCAACCGTTCAAAGTTACACCAGACAGAGCTACTTACAAACCAGTTGTAGAGTTGGTCGTGTGATCACATTTTTAGGCATTTGGTAACCGGCTTGCATACACATCTGTTCGAAATGTCCCATGGTCATGTGACTACGGGCTTTGGGGTATTTGCTGATTTCTGGTGTTTACTTTGGTTTCCAGCAAAAAAAAATGCCCAACTCTGATGTTCACTAAATGACTGCACAGTTTACTTAACGACTATGGTGTTCGCTTAATGACCACTAACAAAAAAGGTTGTAAAATCAGGCATGGGTCCTGTGGTGACTCATTGATGGACGCCACAGTTATGACCGTAATTCTGGGTTCATTTATGGTTGTACATCTAGGAATGCCTCTATAGTCTTATCTTAACCTGAGACAATCTCTTTTGGGTAGGATTTTACTAAGATATTTTTGCTGACCAGCTCCCTTATTGATAGATAGATAACCTTTATTGTCATTTTTTTACTGTGGGCACCACGGCACACATCAAAAATGAAATTTAGTTGCCCGCTCTCAAAGTGAAACACATACATGACATACACCTAAACATACTATGTACAACGTATGTATAGACCCACACCCCTACATATACATAACAAATAAATATTAAATACTGTCCAACTTGAATATATAACGGAAGGAGGAAGCTTGAGAGTTCACAAGGTTAATGCTGTATGGAATGAAACTATTGATTATTCATTCATTCATTCATTCATTCATTCATTCATTCATTCATTCATTCATTCAATTTTTATGGTGCCCACCTGAAATTCATGACTGTAAAAACAGGTCCCTCAATCACAGTTTAACAAACTAAGCAAATTTGTTTTCGTAAACGAATGAGTTTTGTGAGTTCCTACCGCCGAAGTACACCACCGAGGAGGGAAGCGTTGAGGCATTCGGGGGGCGAGAGCCTCCTCTGAACTTCACCGACTGTCACTTTGTACTTGGAGGTGGAACTAAGGAGAGATAATCGTCCAGGAACAGAGCAGAAGACTTCGTTTGGATTGGTTACCCCTCCTATCAGGGGGTCCTTGTTCATGGTCAGAGAAGAGATGGTCCCGTTGGCCTTCGAAGGGAGAGGCACTAGAAGATCAGAACAAAGAAAGAATGAAGGAGTGACAGCTACAAAAAAGCATGGGTTCATTTAGGGCAGTGGTTCTCAACCTTTTTAATGCCGCGACCCCAACCGGTCGTAAGTCGAGGACTAAACCAGTCATAAGTCGAGGACTAAACCGGTTGTAAGTCGAGGACTAAACCGGTCGTAAGTCGAGGACTACCCAACCGGTCGTAAGTCGAGGACTTTCCCTGCCCGGGAGCGCCGCGCATGCGTGGTTCCGCCCCCTGCACCGGCCGAGGCGTAGCTGGCAAGCGGCAGAGACGGAGCAGGCCGACCACCAGCTGGCCCAGCCCAAGGGAGGTAAGGCACCCGCCGGAAAA